AGCATGTCAAGGAGTCTCTATAAACAAACACATCACGGAGTCTCTATAAACAACCACATCATGGAGTCTCCATAAACAAACACGTCACGGAGTCTTTATAAACAAACACGTCACGGAGTCTTTATAAACAAACACGTCACGGAATCTCTATACACAAACACGTCACGGAGTCTCGATAAACAAACACGTCTCGGAGTCTCTATAAACACGTCACGCAGTCTCTATAAATAAACACGTCACGGAGTCTCAATAAACACGTCACGGAGTCTCTCTAAACACGACACGGAGTCTCTATAAACAAACTCGTCACGGAGTCTCTATAAACACATCACGGAGTCTCTATAAACAAGCATGTCACGGAGTCTCTATAAACAGACACGTCACAGAGTCTCTATAAAGTCTCTATAAACAAACACGTCCCGGAGTCTCTATAAACAAACAAGTCACGGAGTCTCTATAAACACATCACGGAGTCTCTATAAACAAGCATGTCACGGAGTCTCTATAAACAGACACGTCACGGAGTCTCTTTAAACAAACATGTCACGGAGTCTCTTTAAACAAACATGTCACGGAGTCTCTATAAACACACATGTCACGGAGTCTCTATAAACGCGTCACGGAGTCTCTATAAACAAGCATGTCACGGAGTCTCTATAAACAAGCATGTCACGGAGTCTCTATAAACACATCACGGAGTCTCTATAAACAAGCATGTCACGGAGTCTCTATAAACGCGTCACGGAGTCTCTATAAACGCGTCACGGAGTCTCTATAAACCCGTCACGGAGTTTCTATAAACAAACACGTCACGGGGTCTCTATAAACAAACACGTCGCGGAGTCTCTATAAACAACCACATCATGGAGTCTCCATAAACAAACACGTCACGGAGTATCTATAAACACGTCACGGAGTCCCTATAAACAAACACGTCTCGGAGTCTCTATAAACAAGTCACGGAGTCTCTATAAACAAGTCACGGAGTCTCTATAAACACCTACGTCCCGGAGTCTCTATAAACAATCTCGTCACGGAGTCTCTATAAACAAGTCACGGAGTCTCTATAAACAAGTCACGGAGTCTCTATAAACACATCACGGAGTCTCTATAAACAAGCATGTCACGGAGTCTCTATAAACGCGTCACGGAGTCTCTATAAACACGCCACGGAGTTTCTATAAACAGACACGTCACGGAGTCTCTTTAAACAAACATGTCACGGAGTCTCTATAAACAAATACGTCTCGGAGTCTCTATAAACACGTCACGCAGTCTCTATAAATAAACACGTCACGGAGTCTCTCTAAACAAACACGTCACGGAGTCTCTATAAACACGTCACGGAGTTTCTATAAACAGACACGTCACGGAGTCTCTATAAACAAACATGTCACGGAGTCTCTATAAACACGTCACGGAGTCTCTATAAATAAACACGTCACAGAGTCTCTATAAACAAACACATCACGGAGTCTCTATAAACAAACACGTCACGGAGTCTCTATAAACAAACACGTCACGGAGTCTGTATAAACAAACACGTCACGGAGTCTCTATAAACAAACACGTCACGGAGTCTCTATAAACAAACAAAAGAGCTGATGATTCTGTCATTGCTGAGTTATTGATGAGAACAAGAAATGCAGCATTGTGAATCGCCATCACATTGAAGGGAGAAGATATTGTGGTTGTAATACACTTGGCTCAAAATACATCCCCAAGTTTTGCTATAGTTTCCGATCAGGTCAAGTGTATTTTTGATATTGTAAGCTGTTCTTATGAACCAAAATCCCACCGCTTTCCAACATTTGATTGACACCATGCACTAATAAATTTTCAAGTCTAAGGGAGGCTATTCTTGTTCATGTCTTCCACAATGTTTTACTGGGCTAAGGGAAGCAACTCTTTTACTTTTTTTTCAACGATGCATTATAGTAAAGGGAGGCTACTCTAGAGTGCATGCACAACTCGAGTAATAGAACCCCTTCTTACTGGTCTAGGGACGGCTACTCTTGTATATGAAGGAAATAAAACTTGAGAGCCTGTAGACTTCTACAATATTTAATCGGAGTAAGCAAAAGCGCTTTAATGTTTACAAACTTCATCAAAGAATGCTTTCTTCTGGAATATATACTGGTATCTTTTTTATCGATCCCATATGTTGCATTTGATAAACACGTTACCATCCTGATCTGCGATGTCTAAAACGCATTAACTATAGCCAACAAAATAAAGCTCTGGTTTCTGATTAGCATACTTTCCATCTCAGTCGCTTCATTTAAGGAATGAAAAGTTATTTTTTTCAACATTCATGAGATCATAACCACATAAGCTTACTGGACATAGTAGCAATTCATGGTAAATATGTTCAGAAAGCCACCTTATTAATGTTGACAAGATAAAGTCCACTCCTTATATTCACATTTGTAATGCTCTAAATTTTCCGATGCAAGCATAAAAATTAAAAAGGTACATGTATCGTTTTTTTTTATTTGTACAGTTGGGCAACGCAGTAGACAGAACAGCGTGTTTTCGCGGGAAAATGTAAAAAAAATCGCTTGGACCTCAAGAATGTTATAAAAAAGTCATTCCTTTTATTTACATTTTTAAGTGCTTTGAATTTTCCGATGCAAGCATAGATAATAAATACAGTTTTTGTCTTTCTATTTTTACATTAGGGCAATGCAGTGGCGAGAACACCGTGTTGTCGCGGGAAAATGTTGAACTTTCGCTGGGGGTCCTAGCAACTGCATGACAACAAAACAATACAAGATATAGTTCCAATTTTCAAAATTTATTTTTTCGAATTTAAACAAGTCGTATATTATTATAATATACTTTACACACCTGACTTTAGCTTTAAAATCAAGTCAATCGTTTTTAATGTTAATTCATATTAGCATAACAAAACTACGTCGAGTGCTGTTTCACGGCGGACGTGAGCTATGCAAAAAAATGAATGTCATTTTCGTCAATAGGTCAAAGTATACAAAATGTAAATATATAGCATATATTATTATATCAATAATGGTCTTGAAACATTTTACCGAACTGTGGGAGACCGCTGTTGGGTTAGGTTTAGGGCTAGAGTTAGGGTTGTGGGAGACCACTGTTGAGAATACGTGGTTTTATTGGTCCCATATGTTGCAATTGCCAAACTCGTGTGCTGGTTTTGCGATGTCGGAGGATTATTTTTCTCGAGTCATGCTCTCACAACTAAAATTTGCTAAGCATCTGATACAATCTATGACACAATTCACTCTGTTGTCAATGTCGAATTTTAAGTTAAAGAAAATGTTTAAAATAATAACATAATAATAATAATTCGAGGTTCTTATATACCGCTTTATCTCAACCTAGTTTGTAGGTCGTCTCAAAGTGGTTCACAAATCATTATCCGTGGTTATAGGGCCTTTGCAACCAGCCAATATCTTTCTCAGCTCCCTTGGGAGCATACAGCCGGTAGTGCCATTTCGACGCTCACAGCTACAGGCCACGCTTCCACAATTGGTGCTCTACCCAAATTGGTACTTGGTCAGAAAGTAATTCCAATAATACTATATATGATATTTTTGTGTATTTTGCTCTTACTGTATAACAAAGGAGATATTTATCAGCATTTTCAACGAATAGTTTTGTTTTCAGGAACATTTTAAGGGTACACAATGACTTCAAAGCAAATATATCAGAAAACCAGTAAAAACAACGTACATTTCTGTACGTCGACAACATTTTGGAAGATTTGGAAGGGGTTAATTATAGGCATGTTTAAGTGTTGATTTCTGGTCCTTATGACCGTATAATATAAAGGTGTATATATGAACTTGTAGTTTAGTTTGGTATTTATAAAAGCAATATATTTTGTTGCAATCGGCACATCAACTAGCAGAAATAAAAACAAGTTTCATAGCCTGCGATATTGTGTACCAATTTGGGTACTTATCATAGCCGAAAAACGGACGAAATCTCACTGTGAGTTTAGCGTTCTTTTTAAGAAACAAATTACTTAGAATCAAAACTTTTTCTGAAAATTAACCACTTTGGATAATCTTTGTCAAGAATAAAGAAACATTCAAGATACAAGAATTTTTCAGAAAAGATTTATAAGAGGTATTTTAATGCAAGAAAACCCTGTTTACATAACGTAAATACAGTTTATGGCAGTGATACGGGAAACCCTTAAAGTAAATACCTAAAACAGTCATAACGGACCTTTCTACCTCGTTCTTTTTGAAAACTCATTGAGATCAAGTTGTATATGTAACATAGGTCATTATATACAATGTTTCCGCTAGGAGTCGAACCCGGGACCTCCAGTTTACTAGTCTGACGCTCAACTAAATGAGTTGAGGAGAAGATCTCACTATCCGAGTCGGTAGGAAGCGGCAAGTATTTCACCAGGTGATATATTCTCCCTTCAAGGAAGATCTCGTCCGGAGCCCTCCAGGGGTCTTAGCGATTCTTTCGAAAGTATCGATGGAGCTATTAGTCAATATTTCCCGGGTTCCTATGTAACAGAGGTTGTTATTTATTCCATGCCTCCGCTAGGAGTCGAACCCGGGACCTCTTGTTTACTAGCCTGACGCTAAAGAGAAATTTTCCCTAGCCGTAGGAAGTGGCTAGTATTTCACCAGGAGAACATACACTTAATCAATAACTGGATTTTAATGAAGTATAAGTATTTTCAATATCAGTAAAGATTTTTGAACTTAATATTAATAGTCATCATTTTATATCTTTATATAACAAGTATAGGTCGAGAGTTGGACAGAAAATAAAACTGCATGAATGAAAATTAAAAAAAAAGATCACCTCTAAAGTCACATTTGAATCTTACCAAATCATAGACTGGGCCAGTCTAGTTTATATATGTAGGTTTCAATGAGTTAAAATTGTAGTCCAGACATGCAAAACGTTTGGGCCAATTCTTTCTCTGATTTCTCTGCTATCTGATTCATAAAAGAGGAAAAAAAAACTAAATAAAAACAATTTTATGTTAATTCATTTATTCATAATACAAAAACTCTAAATTAATATGCAGTTAATAACTAAACAGTTATCATTGTAATACTATAAATAATACATACAACCTACAAAATCCCATTTCATACAATCTTGACAGTATTAATATTACGCTATAGAGACTCCCGAAAACCTATACATCGATATACGTTAATATACACAACGAACTTATACAACATACACTAAAAACTCGATATAATGCCCCTCAATTCATATGCCACCTCGTTTACCGACAACATGTTTCAAGCGCCCTTTTCCCCGTTTTCTTTAGAGTTTTTTTATTTTTTTAATTTCCCCTTATTTTATCGTCAACCCTCTTTATAACGCCAAAATGTGTCTGGACCAACAGTGACAGTATAACGAGGTTTTATTGTTAGGGTTGTCTGGACCAACGGTGACAGTATAACGAAGTTTTAATGTATATCTTATGCAGGTTAAAATTTGTCTGGACCAACGGTTACAGTATAACGAGGTTTAGTGTTTATCTAATGCATGTTAAAACACGATCGATATATTGTTTACTTTGAAAAATATGTTCAATATACATAAATATGTATATATTTCAAAAAAAAAAAGAACGTGTATATTATAGATGGTATACATGAAGTATAATTAGCATTGGGATACTGTGGTCTGCGTTCATCCTACTTAAACGTATAATCACTATCTTTATTCCGGTATAATAGATTATTGTATTTATCCAGAAATACCTTATCCATGTATTACCACATATTTTCATTATAAAACAAAAGTATCGAGACCCGAAAACATTTAAATTAAACTCTTTCAATTCAAAGGTTGGAATAGTTCATTTACTGAAATGTGTAACTAGAGCTATCGATCGCCCGCCATTATGATGTATGAAGTTTGAATGACCGAGTTCCCGGTGTATAGAGGTACTTGATCAGGTGAGGTTCCGGTGTACAGAGGTTCTGGGCTGTTTATTAAACACAGCGTATATTACTGTATTTAGTGTGGTAAAAACTAACTTTAACACACGCACGTGATACATGTATAATATATATCAGAAATAAAGTAATTGCTACAAGAAATGAACTGGAAGAAATTGTTAGCATAGGATATGAAATGAAACAACCTCCGCGCAAAAAGGCTAAAACACTTGTAATGCTGCAGTAATATATCAATCAGAAAATGTTGGTGTTCTGGCATAAAATTATATACCGTACTACGATAAGATCATAATTGTAATAGAAAGTTAACATTTTGAGATTCTGTAGCCAGATAACGCCCAGTCAGAAGGGAAAAAAAAATCAAAAATGAAAACAGCGACCTCTGACGGGCTGTTATAGAACTAACCAAATTACTGGATCATTTGACAATACATGTTTAAGCTTGGATAACGATGAATTAAGCGCAAATCACAAGTTTCAGATCTTAGAAAACATTAAGTCGATACAGATCTGACTTTTCAGTGCCCTCTAGCGGGTTGCATTTACATTGATTCAGTGAAGCGTATCTAATCAGGTACATGTCATACTGGTCAGAATAGACAGGGTATCGAAAACACAGGTTTCACAACATTCAGATGAGGGTCGGCACGATGTCATAATACTTAGTTGTCTATGGAAAATCAGGGGTCAGATAAGACAGTATGTCAGAATACTCGGGGTTCAAATTAACTGTATGTCAAAATACAAAGTGGCCAGATTGACAGGATTTCAGAATACCCGGGGGTAATATTAGTTGGAATATCAGAATACTCGGGGGTAAGATTAGTTGGAATATCAGAATACTCCGGGGTCAAAATCACAGGATGTCAAAATACAAAGTGGTCAGATAAGACAGTATGTCAGAATACTAAGGGATCAGATTGACAGGATGTCAACATAATCAGGGGCTGATTTGGAAAGGTTTCACTCTACACTTATACATCGCAGCATTTTGAATCAGGACACTTGAAACTGATGACGTCACATTTGGTTTCTGTTAAAAGCAACTGCACCAGAACCACGGTAATCTGAATATGTAAAACGATGAATATCTCGGCGCATAGTTGCAGGTAATAAATATACTTTTCTCGTCAATTTTTATGCCATTATTAAAAACAAATACCAAGGTTCTGTATAGCAAGGTTCAAATAGGTTTTGTAAGATATATATATATTTCACATATGGCACGGATTTAAAGAAATAGTGATTTTTTTCTTATCCGAACCCTCAGTAATCTGACATTCTATTCAAATAACAAGTCCAATCAGATTTTATTTTAAAACACAAAGCCGAAACTAGGTTATTTAATTACCTGTCTACTCAAAGCAATGTGTTAGACCCAACAAAGGGACCGTTAGACCCCAAAGCTACAGCACCTTGTTTTGTATGAATTTCGACAACTTATCACATTCGGACATTTTGTTTCATAACTGTAATATTTTGGTGTTTTTGGTGTTTCTTTAAGGTTACTCGACACATCGTCATCAGCGTCCATTTTCGTGACGTACAGCGGACTGAATGATACCTAGCGAAATGTGCCCATACACCGATAAAAGTAACTCATCTTTGAAAAATGCAAAAACATACTCAATCACTCGAACGCTTTACATTAATGCAGCTTTCGCTAATGGTTTCGAAGGACCGAATTCACATTGATCATGTTACGTTGCTAGAGAAAACATCGGCAGATGCAGTTCAAGAAAGGCTGTCAATGAACTGAACAATAACCATGTGCGCTGTTCCAGATCAACTGTACTTGAAGACTTTGACGTCACCGTTCTCCTGTGTTATGATGAGATGTCCGAAAGGACTGAGACAGACGGCGATGGGATGAATCAGACCATCCGCAGAGCAGAGAACTCGGTTCTTGTATTCCCCGTCCGCACCCAGAGCGTGGACGGAGTTACCAGTCTTGTCTGCCAAAAACAAGTTCCCCTGGCGGTCGGTGCAGATCCCACGCGGATCACAAACGATGTTGTCGGGGAGAACCTGTTCGAACTTCACTCCACCATCGCGGCGGATACAGATGATCCCGTTCCGAGACTGGCAATCTGAGACGAGAATCTCGCCCGCCGCATTAGTTGTGACGTAATAGGGCCAAGTGAACAGAAGTTTACCAGGTTGTCGTTTGTCTTCGCGGTACGTTTGTAGAACAGTCCCGTCCAACGCCAGAACGTCGACGCATTGAATACCGGACGCACAGCAAGAAACAACCAGGACAGGGTTGTTTGGAGATGTTGTGACGTCACAGCTTATTCCGCGGTACTGTTTTACAGTTCTGACGCGTTTCCGGATCCTCATATTCTTGTCTTGTACGGATACAAACATGATTGTGGCAAGTTCCGGCAGTGTTACAGCCACTTCTGCGCTAGCCACGTCAACAATACCATGCGGCCAGCTCGGGACCGATACCTCTCCCATCACATTTCCTGTTGCGTCAAATGCTTTGATTTTCTTGTTGTGAAAATCAGTTATGACCGGAGTCCCGTCCTCAAGCATGGTAACGTCTAGTGGCCAACACTTCTTAGCATCGCCGTCTGTCTTCCCGTTAAACGAGAACAGCATCGGGACTGTACGAGATTTCGTTTGTGGAGGATTATTTGCATTTTCGGCATTTTCGGTCTCAGCATTCTTTCTATGAGAGACATGTGTCGAACTGTTTCTGGTACGAGGAAGGGAGTTAACTCTATTCACATCTGCCATCTTCTGAGAACGCTCAGTCCGTGGAGTGCGCGGAGCACGTGGGAGTGTGTTGGACTTAATAGGGGTCGCCCTAGATAGCGCTGCTTTTGTAGGAGTATCACGCGCAGAAGTGGGCCTCGATGACGTTGTTTCCCGAGCAGGCGACGGTCTAGATGTTGGCTTGTCACGTGCAGATGATGGTCTGGATGAAGAACCCCTGCGCGCGCGAATCGGCGGAGACAAGAGTTCCTGTGAGCTAATTGAATCGCTTGACGTCGATGAAACTGACGACGCCGACGAACTCATCATCGTGGTGGCTGGAGACTGAGTCGGCGACCGTTCGACACGGAATGTTCCCGTCCGTTTGATTGATGATCTTCTCTGAGGAGGTTGACCGTCCTTCTCAGACAAACCATTCATGTTGAGAAACGTTTCCTTTTTCAGATCGACCAAGTCAACGATCTTCCCAATGGAGTGTAGCTCAAGTAATCTTTGTATACACGAGTCAGGAATGAGTCTGTGTCGAGTGCTCAATTTACTCAAACGGGATTTCTGGATGTTCGCACGCATGTCATCTACTTGTAGCTTGATTGCATCAAAAACCGTGAGGAGTTCCGAATCACTACCAAACTGGATGAGGTTTTTGAGGAATGTGCCTGTGTTGTTTACATTTTTCTTCATTTCATCTATCTCGTTCATTCTTCCCTTCACGACCGTTCCCGTCTGCATATTCCTTTCGTCTAGGTCAACAATAAGCTTGTTTTCCAAATTTACCAATGCCTCATTGACCCTCTTCCTAATCGTCGTCATTTCTTTCATAATGGCCTCTTTGTTGTTGGAGAGTTCGCCGAGCTCTTTTTCGTGTTCCTCTCGCCAGTCTCGTAAAACCTCGCTCTGCATCTGGAGATTTTTTTGTACATATTCTGTTTCCGGTTTTAACTTTTGAGCTGCGTCTACCAAAGTCTCCACCATTTCACATCGTCTATGTTGCACGGCAACGCACGAGGAGCAAATAGTCACGTGACAATCAACACAGTAGTATTCGATAACCTTGTCTCTGTGATGAAAACACGGAATTTCCTTCTTATTTGATCGGATGGACTCAAGTGGGTCATTGCGCATGTCTATGAGTGAAACCACGATGTGTTCTCGGCAAGCTTTGATGACGTTGTGCGCTTTTATACAAGAATCACAGAAAACAACTTTACATGTCTGACACCAATTTTCGGCTTTGGCGCCAATTCTGTTGCCGTCTCTGCAACAGCTCTCGCAGTACTTATCAGTAGATTGCATGTCAATCTTTTCCATCAAACTACTCACGAAATGGTTGTCCGGAAACATATCCGTCCATTGTCCGCAATTTGAATTTCCGGTAGGAACACTCAGTTCTACATCAGCCCGGCATACAGGGCAGTTAAAATGTTTTTCCTGAGGGACAATTTTTTCGATTTCGGAGTCATTTTCTGCGGGATTGCTGTTGTCATCCCCGATGGATTTCTTTAGTACTTCTGTCAGACATTGACGACAGAATGTATGGAGACACGGAAGGAGTTTCGGAGATGTATAATTCTGTAAACAGACGGGACACTTAAGGAATTGGTCCTGTATTTCCTTTAGCGTCTCCATCGTAAGCCTCGGTTTCGGAGGGCGGTGTCCGGATTATACGGCTTTCATTACGTAGTGGGAACCATCGTGAATCTGTAAAATACGAAACAGTGGTCAATAAACAGTTATGATGTTCAAAATTTAAGTAGTTAATTACAAATTAAAGAGAGAAATATAAATTAATATGATGATAATGAGGTGAAATTAAAAATGACGCATCTATTGACGGAAGGAATAGGTAAATATTTTTCTTATTTTTTGGGAACAGTTATGCAATTTCAAAGAGAGAGCAGACCTGCTATATCACAATACATGATCGTATGACGCAATTCATATGGAACCCTCCTCCAGATTCGTGGATGGGGTAGTGATCGACTGTATCGGCAGTGACTTCTGCCCAAGAGATATTGAGCACAAGATGGTCACACCCCATCCCGTCACCCAACCCACCCCAACCAACTTCGATGCGGGGAGGGGGAGGGTGTGTAATAATGAAATTCGTCTCCTATATTTTCTGTCTCTTTTTTAACATTTTGCCACCTACCACAATGTCAGATAATACAAATGTTATTGTAGAAATATAGTAAATATTTACCATTTCATGTACGTTTCATACAAGCATGACAGTTTAAATTCCAATTTTGAATATTGTTTGTTTTTTAAAATACTGTAGATATTTACTTCGTTTATCCAATTTGAAAATATTCTATTTCTCTCACAAAATAGCATCATCGAATTCATTTCGTCAAATTCAGCACATCTGTCGCCTTTCAAATATATATATCATTAGCATCATTAAAACGAATCGCGTGGTCGGAAGAAAAATATGATAATGTTTTTCCTCCAATAGCGAATGTGATCTATATATTTTTCATCTTTTTTGACAGGATAAAATTAAGATAATTCATCAAATTTATAATTTAACCACAAAAGAACTTTAATGTACATCAGAGACCATTAATGAATGGCTATGCGAAATTACATACGTATGGCTGTACGTATGGTTGTACGTATGGCTGTATGGCTGTACGACTGTATGTATGGCTGTATGGCTGTACGACTGTACGTATGGCTGTACGGCTGTACGTATGGCTGTACGTAAGGTTGTACGTATGGCTGTATGGCTGTACGACTGTATGTATGGCTGTATGGCTGTACGACTGTACGTATGGCTGTACGGCTGTACGTATGGCTGTATGGCTGTACGGCTGTACGACTGTACGGTTGTACGTATGGCTGTATGGCTGTACGACTGTACGTATGACTGTTTGGATGTACGGCTGTACGTATGTCTGTATGGCTGTACGGCTGTACCTATGGCTGTACGGCTGTACGACTCAATGTATGGCTGTATGGCTGTATGAATGTACGTATGACTGTATGGATTTACGACTTTATGTATGGCTGTATGGCTGTATGTATGGCTGTATGGCGGTACGACTGTACGTATGGCTGCACGACTGTACGTATTGCTGTACGACTGTACGTATGACTGCATGGATGTACGACTGTACGTACGGCTGAACGTATGGCTGTGCGGCTGTACGTATGGCCGTACGACTGTATGTAGGGTTGTATGGATGAACGACTGTACGTATGGCTGTAGGACTGTACGTATGACTGTATGGATGTACGGCTGTACGTATGGCTGTATGGCTGTACGGCTGTACGTATGGCTGTACGGCTGTACGACTGTATGTATGGCTGTATGGCTGTATGACTGTACGTATGGCTGTACATATGGCTGTACGACTGTACGTATGGCTGTACGTATGACTGTACGAATGTACGTACGGCTGTATGGCTGTACGGCTGTACGTATGGCTGTATATTGGTGTTTATTTTGCTAAGGTTTCAGACATTTGATTTATCGGCATATATACATGTATTTATACACTATAAAGTCTATTTCTCTATTCCACGTTCTCAGCTTGTGTCTCTGTATCTCTAAATAGACAATTCTATCATAGATTGTGTGCATTATGTAATATGAAGAAGGTAGAAGATGAATTTCATTTCATTTTGAAATGTCCTTGTTATGCTGACATACGAGCTAAATTCATCAAAAAATATTATTCAAACCGTACTAGCATGTTTAAATTTATCCAACTGCTAAACAGTAATAGTTTATCAGAAATTAAAAATTTGGGTAAATATCTAGTGCATGCGAACAAGAAAAGGTCTCAACTTCTGTAATTAGTGGTTACTGTTCACTCTCCACTATATAATGTACAATTATAATACCTAGACATATCATGTTTGCATGGATGTAATTTGTATTGTACTGTATATATGTTGTAACTGATAAGTCGGATGACTTAAAGTAATAATTAACTTAATCATACAGTATCCGCTTATATTTCAGTCTCTCTAAATAATTAACTAATGACGTTCTGGCTCTCTATATCAACAAACATCCTTTTGACCTTCAATATCTCGATATCTCTCACCCGTCTCACCATTATCTCCATCACACATTCTCAACTAATCTCTGTCTCTCCACCACGCGTTCTCAACAAATATCTCTATCTCTCTAATTCAGTGGTCATCTCTTCACCACGCATTCTCAGCAAATCTCTCTATCTCTCTAAATCAACTAGCATTCTCTCCACCACACGTTCTCGGGCACTCTCTCTCTATCTCTAAACCGACTGACCATTTTGTCCGTCACGCGTTCTTGGCTGAGCCTCAATCTCGCTGAACCAACAAACTGTTCTCGCCAACGCACGTTCTTAGCTAATCTCTCTATGGGGAGGAGGCCTTCTAAGGGGTTTTGCAGATTGATGCAGGGTTCTGTGTTTTATTTAACAATATAAATATGCCACCGTAGAATGACTTAATTGATGTAAAGTAAAGATGAACGCATGCATTGTTAACATTAAAATTAAGTGATATTTTCAGATAGCATATAGCCTTAATTAAGAGCAAAAATGACAGGCAACGGTCTTTATTTGAAAAGGTCAAGGTTATTCTCAGTCACTGAGATCGTCTACTGAAATGGACAATCCTTATCTGTTCATACCAGATATGTAAGGCAAATATCTATAGGGAAATATTTGCTGTATTAACTAATATTTACCCAAGATGGCGACCGTAAACGGAGTGTTGACATTTCTGTTCGGTGTGACGGTTATGTATACTGTGTTTGTATAGGATCATGAATGTCTCATTGAAATTTGTTCGTAACTGGTAGGTATATCTTGCGTTTTGACCTGAAAACCACAGTTACGTCCCCTTAATTCCTGTCGTAAATGAGCGTCGTTAACGGATTCGTCTCTACACTCTACCTAGTCTCGTTCAACCAGACGCTGTTCGGCGTAGCTTGCGCAGACGACAAGAGTCTGGTAGAACGAGACAAAAATCTACCAAGTCGTCTGGCTACGCATGAGTGATTCATCGCCGGAAGAGAGCTACATTTGGCATGCGTATAGGGACATTGTATAACGTCTACTCCGAGTTAACATTTTTACTTGTATATAGTACCACACATCTTATGTAAGGAAATACACTTTTGCATCTTTCAAGTGTATTGGTTTAGTTCGTGAGACTGATACATTTTAATAGGCTTATGTTGACCAATACTTTTCAAATGTATTTTCATCTAAATTGTTTGATAGATTGAGCTATTTACGGGTTGTCCTCAATATTGAGTTTATACTCATTATATACTCTTAAATTTATTGATATGTTCATCAATCTGCCTTGGTTTATTTGTGGCATATAAGTTGACATTCTGAGTTTGGAAAATGCCTGTCTTTGCTTTGAAAAAGATAAAATCTTAAAATACAACTTAGATAAGAAGACAGCGATGAACGTATGAACCTGTATAGCGAGTCTTCGAAAGAAATGCGTATTTCAGGGCNCGCCCCGCCCCGCCCCGCCCCGATAACAAACCAAAAGGACCCTTTGTATCTCCTCGCAACACCAATACGTGCGAACACAAAAAAAATCTTTATATAGTTTACAGTCAGTTACCCAGATTATTGATTCTTGCATTTGTTTGATTGTTTGTTTGTTTTTGTATCCACGGCCCATCGACAGAAGAATTTTGTAACATGGGGAGACCATTTGATAAAGCAAAAACTCAAATTCAAGCAAAAAAAAACAAGTAATCGTATATCTTATAATCGTCTGCACGAATGGCGTAGAAAATGAAAACAAAACAAAAACTTTTAATGGAATAATATTTGAAACAAATGTTGCGTGTTTGTACAAGTAAATCACACGGGAAAAACGATACACAATTACCTTATAGTAAAAATAATTGTGTCTACCTCATTTTGTTTTTTCTTTCATATATATAACAAGCTTAGAACAGTTTTATGTGTGTTTAAAGAACAGGTTCTTGTAAACATCGTAAGTAATTATATAAAAAATTATCGTAGACGGATGAAAATCCTCCCACGATTAAAATATAAAATACTAAAAATATTGAATCGGTGCCAATCAATTCTAAGTTTAAGTAAATATGTAGGTCGACATGATTTTGCCTTTCCTTGTATAGTCTTACTTATTATATATATTGTGTAAGGTGGTCTAGAAAAATACTAGTTTCTGTATACAAAAGAAATTCGGCAGATCGGACACTTAGGTTTGTGGAATCTTGGTTGTCCGGGAACCATACTAGTCAGGACACTTTGGTTTGTGTGTACAGTGGAACCTTGTTGGTCTGGACACTTTGGTTTGTGTGTACAGTAGAACCTTGTTAGTCAGGACACTTTGGTTTGTGTGTTCAGTAGAACCTTGTTAGTCTGGACACTTTGGTTTGTGTGGACAGTGTGGCACCTTGTTGGTCCGGACACTTTGGTTTGCGTGTACAGTGGAACCTTGTTAGTCTGGAAACTTTGGTTTTGTATGTAAAGGGGAACCTTGTTAGTCTGGACACATTGTGTTTAATGTCACTCTTCCTTAGCCGGAACATTTGGTTTGTATATAATTTGTTTTTTCCCTTATCACAATGACATAAAGAAGTCTTATTATTTTCGATATATAATTTCGAATAAAATTCAATTTTCAAAGATGAATACGTAAGTAAAATCAATGGTGAATACATAGGTAAAATGCATAAATTTTATCAACGATGTACCGTTCTT